CATCATCGACAGAGGTTCGGTCATTTTTAAAACGTGAATGCCACACCAAAGTTTGCGGACTCCCCAAATGCTTGCTTTAGGATTTCATAGGTTTCCGTAGCCGTTTTGGCGAGTCTTTGGCAAAATTTGATGCACACGCCATTCCGAAATCGCAGGAGGGTCGGTGTAATGCACTACCAAAACGCCCGTAACTAAGAAACAAATGCTAATTCGATGATGCCGGCTGGCACACTGATTCACTATGAATGTAGGCCGCACCCCCTATCGGCAGAAGCTCGTACTACATCCGGTTCGCCCTCTATTGACACAGTCTTGAAACTTTCCGATTGCACCTCGTATATACACAGTATAACATACATAGCTCATATTTAAATCATTCCCCCCCCCGGCTCAGTCCACTTTTCACTTCCAGCAAAGAGAAGTTTTTGCGTAGTAACCTGTAAAACCACCTCCCTCAGTCCTCGAATCTGCGAAAGTAAAGTAAGCCCAAATTTTTGAGACTGTAGAACAACGAACATTTAATTAAATCTCTCGGTTATAGTGTACATGAAAACTTTAACAAACAATCGTGGAAATGACGACTCTGTGCACTCTAATTGATTAGGCTACATATGTTTTCCAAATGCTTTCTCTTCGAGTCTCATCTTAAATTAATATACTATATACACGCAGAAGGGACAAAACGTAAAGTCTCTGTGCGAAGTGAGAGATGCACGAGGTCAGAGACCGTTCACCAACTCCGGGAACTAAATCAAACAAGAATTCTGCTAGACGAGTTACCTTTCAACAGCTGGAGTAGCAGACATAGTCACGATTTGCCCTGAAGCTCAAAATTGCCAAAACTAGATCCGGCGTACGTAACCAATACGACCTTAAGGTCACTGTCCCAAGCAGTCCGCATTTACTAACACATAGTATCACCTTGTTACATATTAAGCTCATGGCGGATCAAGTTATAATCTTCAACCTACGCTCTCGAAAAGCCAGTCAATACCTGATAAATGCTCTGTCGATATTACATGACGGACAAAGTTATGACAAGTACAGTAAAGGCCTAGTTTTAAAAACGATACACGCAAACTATGCTGGACTATTCTGAGTTCATAAGCTGCAAGCTATTCAGTAGAATCTGTAGTTTAATTTGAAAACCAAATCTGGCATTTCTCGTAAACATATCTTTCGTATCTGAATCCCCCAATTAGATAAAATTTACTGCACCTATTTATATCCTACAAACTCTTTTAGTTAAAATAAAAAGGCCGCTGAGCGATTAATATGAAACAAACATATATAAGTGTCTGTTACGCAAGCGAGATACTTTATGTAATCGCAATTTTTCAAATGTATGTCAAAGATAACACAACTCTCGCACGTCACATTTCGACATATAAATAACGCATTATCTTCGGAACAAATGTGCTATTCAAACTGTTCGCCGTATTTTTATCTACTACCATTTTCTACGCCAATCTTCCTTCTACTTATCCTCTTGCCTGCTGTACGAAAAAATGGTATTCCTCGCAACCTGCAAAACGGTTCCGATATCTATAGAAAATTAAGTGAAGGCTGTTAAGGACCCTAATACACATTGACACAAGTTGCAACAAAAGTAGCGCAACAGAGTATGGCGATGGAGGTATCATGAATTGGGTGGCAGTCACAACAGGGTGCGTTGCTGGACCGCGGTTCACGCCGTGGGTGGAGAACCGGGCAACGGAATCTCTCATGAATGCGTACTTTCTCGATTATTATCCGTATTAAAGTAAGCAGATTTTGAAAAAGCCCGTTACTCATACATAAACAGTTGAGCCAATCCTGCGGCTCCTTGGTCTCAATTTCCTTTAATAAATTAGCAACTGAATATCTTTTTCTCAGTCAGCAATTTCTTCCACCATTCGCTGTTTTATTTTCCAAATATTCGCTCAAAACAACTCCAAATGACACCAAAACCGGTACAGGTAAATTGGGCACCGACCAGGCCCTTTAGCCTTGGTACAGGAGTAATCGGGTAGACACGCATTACAGCAACAGTTTATAAAAATTATTTTGTAATATGCAGTATCAAACTGCGTAACATGAAAATTAAAGTATACAAAACAATAATTTTGCCTGTTGTTTTGTATGGGTGCGAAACATGGTCTCTCACTCAGAGGGAGGAACACAGATTGCAGGTGTTTGAGGAGGATATTTGGGCCTAAGAGGGAAGACGATGGGGAACGGAGAAAACTGCATAATGACGAACTTAAAAATCTGTACTCCTCCCCCAATATTGTCAGGGTGATTAAGTCGAGAAGAATGAGATGGGCGAGGCATGTAGAGTGCATGGATGGGACAAGAGGTGTGCACCGGGTATTGGTTGGGAAGCCTGAGGGGAAGAGACCGCTG